CAACAGCAGCAGCACCCGGCGGCAGCTCTTGCCCCGCTGCAGCAGCAGCTGCTGCTGCTGCTTCCGCTGCTGCTGCGCCTACTGCTGCCGGCGTGGGCAAAGACGGCGTTGCTGCTGCTGCTGGTGCTGCAGGAAGCACTGCTGCTGCAGCCCCCGCTGCAGCAGCAGTGCTTCCTGCAGCACCAGCAGCAGCAGCAACGCCGTCTTTGCCCACGCCGGCAGCAGTAGGCGCAGCAGCAGCGGAAGCAGCAGCAGCAGCTGCTGCTGCAGCGGGGCAAGAGCTGCCGCCGGGTGCTGCTGCTGTTGTCGCAGCAACAGCAGCAACAGCAGCAGCACGGCAGCAGCTGCCTGCTGCAGCACAGTACACACCCCACAGCAGCCACCTGCAATATGCCACACGGCCGCTGCAGCAGCTGCTGCAGCAGGCGCTTTACCGCTGCCGCAAAGACTTGCATTCTTGCTGCCGCGTGGCGCTGCAGCAGCAGCAGCTGCTGCAGCAGCAGCTGCAGCAGGCAGCAGCAAAGGGCGAGGGCGAGCGCTTCGCAGCCACAGAAGCAGCAGCAGCAGCAAGCAGCATTCTGCGCACGGCTTTGCTGCAGTACAGCAGACACAGCAGAGAGCTGCTGCTGAAGCTGCTGCTGCTGCACACCCAATGGCCCGCGCTGCAGCAGCAAGTCGAGAGCTTGCTGCAGGAGAGCGCCCGCATGCAACAGCAAAAATTCAAAATCAGGGACATCATACTCACCGTAAGCTGCTGCTGCTGCTTCTAGTGTTGCTGCTGCTGCTGCTGCTGCTGATCGTGTTGCGTTGGTGCTGGGCGGGCTCCTGCTGCTGCTGCTGCTGCTGTTCGTTTGGCGCTTTGGCTCTGCCGCGGCTCACGATTGTGCTGCAGCTGCCTCTGACGCTGCAGCAGCCTCTGATGCTGCAGCAGCAGCCGCAGCAGCAGCAGGGAGTTTGCATGCCTTCGTGTTGCGCGTGCTGCAGCAACAAATGCAGCTGCAGCAGCAGCAGCTGCAGCTGCTGCCGCCGCCCTGCCCTGTTGATGTAGCCATGGAAGTCCTAGCCACTGGGACTTACCAGCGGCTGCCGCTGCTGCTGCAGCAGCAGCTGCTGCTGCTGCACCTGCAGCAGCAGCAGCAAACGCCGGGAGCAGCAGATGAGGACCTTGACGGCATTGAGGAGGCCTATCAGCACCTAGATCGTGGGGTTGCTGTTGCTGCTGCTGCTATTGCTGCTGCTGCTGCTGCTTTGTCTGCAGCTGCTGCTGCCGCGCCTGCTGGTGGTGCTGCTGCTGTCGGTCTTGCTGCTGTTATACCTGCTGTCGGTGGTGTTGCTGCTGCTGCTGCTGCTGCTGCCTGTGTCAGCCTTCTCATGCTTGGCGTTGCTGCTGCTGCAAGCTTTCGAGTTGCTGCTGCTGCTGCAACCGCATATTCGCCCGTCGCCTTCATGGCTGTATGCTGCTGCTGCTGCTGCTGCTGCTGCTGCTGCTGCTGCAGCTGCTGAGTGCGTGGAGACTCGGAAGCGGCTGCAGGACTCTTTGCTGCTGCAGCTGCACACTGCGTCGCTGCAGCAGCAAGAGCAGGTGTCTGTACACCTGAGAAGCAACGGCAGCATTCATTTGCTGCTGCAGCACCTTTGCTCAATGGAGGCCGTCTCAGACATTGCCAGGCAAGCCAGCTAGCTAGCTAGCTAGCTAGCTAGCTAGCCAGTTGGCTAGCTAGTCAGCTAGTTAGTTAGCTGGCTAGCTAGCTAGCCAGTGGGCTGGCCAGTCAGCCAGCTAGATATCTCGCTAGTTAGTTAGCTAGCTAGCTAGCCATTTGGCTATCTAGCTAGCCAGTCAGCTAGCCAATTAGCTAGCTGGCCAGCTATCCAGTTGGCTAGCTAGCCAGCTAGCTAGTTAGCTAGTTAGCTAGCCAGGTCCTAAGCTAGCTGGCAAACTAGCCAGTTAGCTGGTTAGCCAGCTAGCCATCTAGCTGTTTAGCTAGCTAGCCATTTGGCTAGCTAGCCACTTAGCTAGCTAGCCAGCTGGCTAGCTAGCGTGGGTGTCTGTGGTTGCATGCGCGCGGCTAGCCAGCTTTATGGTGGAGATCTGCTGCTGCTGCTGCTGCTGCAGTTTGCAGGTGCTGCGGGTGAACCTGATTTTGCTGCTGCGCCTTGGCTTCGCCGTGTCGGCAGCAACAGCTGCAACTCCTGCTGCTCCTGCTGCTGCTGCAGCAGCAGATTTGAATGCGCTCTCAGTGGCCATCTTCAGGCAAAACACCAGGGCAGCTGTTGAAAGGGCAAATGTAGGTTTGCTGCTGCTGCTGTTGCTGCTGCTGCTGTGGCAGTTGCTGCTGCTGCTGCTGTGGCTGTTGCTGGACAAGTTTGGAGAAGTGCTGCTAACTAACTGTGCTGCTGTTGCTGTTGCTGCTGCTGCTCCTGCAGCTGGAGCGAGGCCGCGTCGAACTAGCAGAAGTAAAGGCGAAAGCAGCAGCAGCAAACCGCAGCTGCAGAGAAGACCTGCTGCAGCAGCTTCGCGTCATTCAAGAAGCAGCAGCCCGGCTCGGTGTGGCGCTGCCAGAAGAGGCCGTTGCTGCTGCTGCTGCTGCACAACATGGCGATGGCAGCAGCAGCAGCGCTAGCAGCAGCAGCAGCAGCGCCAGCAGCAGCAGCAGCAGCAGCTCCATCGCGGTGCGACCGGACAGTCATGAGGCTTCCGAAAGTGAGATGACGGGCGGAACTGCACAAGCGGCAGCAGCAGCAGCAGCAGCAGCAGCAGAGGCAGAAGCAGCGCCTGAAGCAACAGCAGCAGCAGCAGGAGAAGAAGCAGCAGCAGACGCTGCAGCAGCGGAGGCGCCGCTGCAGCCGTTTGACGCCTTCGGGTGTCTCTGTCGGGAGACACGGCGGGTGCTGTTTTGCTGCTGCTTAGATTTGCTGCAGCAGCAGGCGATGCGGCACCTTGCCGTGGCAGCAGCACTTGCTGCCAGCAGCAGCAGCAGCAGCAGCAGCAGCAGGAGGCACTGCAGGGAGTCGCTGCTGCACTTCGTGGTGTATGTGGCTTTGTCTCACAGCGGCGCAATTGTCTCTTCAGGTGTCTCCTCAGAAGCAGCAGCAGCAGCAGCAGCTCCTGCTGCGGACTCCGCTGCTACTGCTGCTGACGCAAACGCAGAAGCAGCAGAAGACTCCGCGCTGCAGCTGGGCGAGTCTGCTGCTGCTGCTGCAGGGCCGACTGAAGCAGCAGCAGCAGGAGCCTTCGTGCCTCTGTCAACAGCAGCAGCAGCAGCAGCTGCTGCTGCTGCTGGGGGCCCCGCAAGGCGCGTGCTGCTGCAGCTTTCCATCTTGAGGGATTTTGATGTCTCCTGTGGGGGCCTGCGGCCTGCTGTATGTTTTGCTCCCCGGCCAGCAGCAGCAGCAGCAGCAGCAGCAGCAGCAGCAGCAGAGGAGGCAGCAGCAGCTACAGCAGCAGGCCCGCAGCACAGCGTGCAGCCCCACATGACCTTCTCTGCAGATGACGACCTGGCTGTGGAGGGGGCAGCGGGCGACTCAGCAGCAGCAGCAGCAGCAGCAGCAGCAGCAGCGCAGCAGCATCAGCAGCAGCAGCAGCAGCAGCAGGAGCTGCGGTCAGAAGGAGTAACTCTGCAGTTTTCTGTGAACCTGCAGACCTTCAACGAGCTGTCTGTACACCTGTGGCCGCTGCACTCCCTGGTGG